AGGCCAGTCTTGACTTCTCTCAGACTTGTATTCAAATCTAGGCTCCATTGTATGGCTTTGAATCCAAATATGAATCATCTATTTTATTTATAAATTAGAGGTTACAAGTGCTACCTACAAATGAGGTTATCAGTAAATCTGTAACCTAGGGCTGAGGTGATGGCTTAGTGGGTAAGAGCACTCGCTTTGCAAACATAAGGACCTGAGTTCAAATCGCCAGCACCCATGTGAAAGCCTGTCATGGTTTTGTGTACCTGTAACCTCAGCATTGAAGGATGAAGACAGTATATTTCAAGAGCTTGCTGAAATGATGAACTTCTGGTTCATTCAGACTGTCTCCAGGCAGTAAGGTGGACACCAATAGAGGAAGACATCTGAAGCCCTGTTCTCACCTGAGCTGTATATGTACACACACAAAAATCTCCGTAATCTGCTTTTCATCTAATATATAAATTAGAGACTATAGCTCAATGTTTGCGAATTGTTATGAGTAAATGTCAAAATTATTAAGTAAAATGTGTGCTGACATGCCTGAGGCAGTTCTTGGCACATAGTAAACATTCCATAAATGGCAGCCATAAAAATAATATTGGTAATTAGTTTATTGCTCTTTCTCAAGCTCGCTTTTCTATTATTATGTAACCATTTCTAAGGCTGCATTGTTTACATCATCAATTTTCTGTCATTTTGAAATTATAACTAGTACAAATAAGACTTCTTTGTGCATCCTTAACCCATTTTAAGAAGAGTTCTCAAATGGAAATTATAAGATTATATTTAAAAATAGATAATTTTTTAGAAATCTATATTGCTAACTGGTTCCTAAAAGAACTGTGCCAGTCTGTAGCGTGTAATTCACTCTGCTACTTTTATCACACTTGCAAGATTCTGGAGTTTATTTTAAATTAGTTTTGCTATTTTTAATAAGTGGAAAGTGGTATCATATTTTAATTACTGGCTTAACTAACCATTCTTCCTCTGTAGTTTAATGTCCTCTTTCCTGTCACCTTAATTTTACTGCATAGACATTTTATAATGTTGACATACTCAAATTTGCTTCTTAAGATAGCTTTCTTCTGTTGCTTCCAAAAAGCCTTCACCTCCTCCCCTGCCTACTCTTTAAGAGGTCTGATAGGAGGCTATTCTGTGATTTCATTCAAAGTCCACTCTTTTTCTGATTTATCAATGATTCTGAAGTGTAATGATGCCTGGTATGATGCCCAAAGTTCATTTTCTTCAAATATGAAATGAAATTTTTTACAGCTTTATCACATATTAAAGTTCATTCCTGTCTTGACTCAGTGGTATTTTCTTATCATATTTATGATTCTTTTGGGTCTGGATGGGGCTGTTTAGTACAAATTCCCTTGACCCTCACAAACACGAAGGCAATAGGTGCAGAAGACTTCTGAGAGAATCATAGATCTTTAGAGAACTGCTCATAAGATAGCATTATACAAGCCAGGGTTTTGGTGTATGCCCCACTCATTTTATGATAGAGCAAAGTACCATGTAGCGTGTTGCGTGACTTGCTTAGTTGTTGCCAGTGAGTACTGGAAATCATCATCTTTGTAACTCTAAGGTGACATTTTGTGTTCTTGTCCAACAGTTGTGAATATTGATTTTTCTCTTGCTCTGTTACAATTAGATAAAGGATTCATTAATATCCTCTCCACAAAGAACACTACGGTATTTGTGAATGATGGAGAAAATGTAGATTTGGTTGTTGAATATGAGGCATACCCCAAACCTGAACACCAGCAGTGGATATACATGAACAGGACCTCCACTAACAAGTGGGATGATTATCCCAAGTCTGAGAACACAAGTAATATCAGGTAAGGCAGGGGCCTTGTCCTGGGGGTCACGCATGTGCCACTGTCTCCAAGTAACCTCCCTAGACCCTGCCTGTGACCCAGTAGTGCATGGGAAGATGTCAGGTAAAGAAGCACCCCTGGGGCCTGCCACTGCAGTTCTTAGCTGAAGATTCCATTTGCTGTGTATTAAGAGTGTAACACACACACACGAGCCAAGCACCCATATATAATCTCTGCCTCAGTTTTCACATTTGGAAAGTGGAGGTTACTTTTACAATTCTGTGGGCAGCCCAAAGCAGTGACCAACATATGTTTAGGATACAATTCTCTTCAGGGAATAAGGGAAGTTAGTACCTTTACTAGTTTATTAAAACTGTGAGGAGAATATGCTCTCATTAATCTTTGAGCCAGGTGATGAAATCAAGTGGGTTTTTTTCTTTCCATCAGACCTCTTGTTAGAGCCTCAGAATGTTATAATTAAAATAGTAGCAGTAGTAATACCTTGTGTGTGTTGATATATTTTTGCCAGGCATAGCTCTGAGTACTTAACATCAACACAAATGTTGTATGTAGCGTTCCTTTAAAAAAACTTTTGTTATTGTGTAGGTGTGTGTTATGTGTATGCATGTGGAGGCCAGAAGACAACCTTTGGGAGTCAGTTCTCTCCTTCCACCTTTACATGCATTCCAGAGATCGAACTCAGTTCTCCAGGCTTGTGCCAAAAGGTCCTTTAGCCACTGAGTCATCTCACCAGCCCCACGGCACTCTTATTTCCCCCATTTTTATGGAAGAGTAAACTAAGGCACAGATGGATGAAGTAATACAACCAAAATCAAATGACTAGTGAGGGTCAAGTGACTGGGTGGAGTGTATGTGTTACTGTACTCTGGAAATGTTGACAGAACACGGGAGAGAACTGATACAGTATTCTGGAGTAAGTGTTAGGTTCGGGCAGAGGAGGGTGGATTTCGGGGCATCTAGGTGATTGCAGGGGTAGGAGTGGAGTGGAGGAGGTAAAGGTGCTCTTAGGTTGGGATCTTGTGTGCACATCTAGAAAGGACTTGGGTCAAGTTCCCTAGAAGCAAACCCTGAGAACAGGAATTCAGGGGCAAGGGAAGAGATGTGCGAGGGAGCAGAGGACCTTGGGGAGCTCTGAGCTGTGCTTCTGAGCCTTGGGCAAAGGTTACAGTGAGTCATGTTGAGCTGCACCCACAGCAGGGGCTTGTGGGGACATGGAAATAGGCTGGCAGAGGAGGCACAGGACAGAGGCACCTGTGCTAAAAGTTGGGATTAGAAAGTTTGAGCAAGCGGTTCAGTGTGAGTGGGCAGCCCACTGACTGGTCAGAAGAGAGAAGGCAAATGACAGCACATGGTTGAGTCAGTCCTGGGCTGCCCAGCAGATCTGGCCATGCCTTGGAGTCCATGCCAGCAGGTTGCCCAAAGGTTGTATGGTGCTTGGTATACATACCCATCCCTAGCGTTTGATTTGAGAAGATGCTTGAATAGCAAATACTGCAGAGAAGTTTGGAGATTAAAGGAAAACCAAGGAGCAGCAGTACTGGTAGAGCGAAGTGGGGGGGTGTTGTGGGCCATGGTCATGTGGTTCCCAAGACCTGAAGTGTCGACATGAAGATAGCTTGCTGTTGAGCTGGGGTTCCTCAGGGTCGGGGTGTTCAGAGCCAAACAGGCAGATGAATTCAAGGGATCACAGCAGCCTCACCAGAGAAGGAAGTGGTCATGGGGTAGCCTGGGGCTGTGACCGCATGCTTTGCTAGTCTCTCTGCACTCAGCGTCTTCACACGGCAGGTCTTTGTCCCAAATTGAGCGAGTCTGTATGAGTGAGTATTTTGTTACTGCTAAATTAAATGATTCATATCCCCCACCCCCAAATAGGCATCTCTTTCCAGGTAAAAAATGTGACAGAGACATGCCCTCTAGGGCAGGCTGTCCACAGGGGGTTGATTTATTGTCTTTCCTTTGTAGATATGTGAGCGAGCTTCATCTAACCAGATTAAAAGGCACCGAAGGAGGCACTTACACGTTTCTGGTGTCCAACTCTGATGTCAATGCTTCCGTGACATTTAGTGTTTATGTGAACAGTAAGTAAATTGTGGGACTCCTTATCTTTTTATTTTGTGTTATTGCACACTGTGACTTGTGTGTGTAACAGCTGCAGAGCTGCATTCCTTGTGTACCATGTAAATAATGTTTCATGATAATTTTGACCTTAACAGAGACCTCGTGGTTTGGTGGTTGGAAGAAAAAACGATTCCTTGCCCTACATTTCACTGACCACATGACCTTGTAGAAGTGGTCTGAATTCTGAGGGTTGCCTTTAGAGTAAAAGAAGTTGAAAATAAGAGCTGATTGAGGGAAAGTGTTTTATTATTGATTGTTGGCCAGGGGAGCCCGATGTTGAATAGGAATAGGATTCGATGTTGGGTGGGAGAGAGATGCTGTCAAGCCCTGACATAAATTTTCTCTTACCAGTACTCTGTCTTCAGACTGTGATGCCATTTGTGTTTAGACTGTTCTCCCACTAAGATCAATGCAATATTGACCCAGCTCAGCGGTCATTCCTGAGTACTGTGGGAGCAGGGAGCAGGTGATTGGGGGGGTGGGGGTGGCATTGGCTGTGGTCATTAGAACTTTAACACCAAAGTCCTGCAGTGCTGTGGTTCCCTCTTTTTCCTCACCCAACTTTTTAGAGAAATACCTAAGCAAGGGCAGAGGCCAGGCAGGAAGGTAAGCAGGGGCGGGGCCAGGCAGGAAGGTAAGCAGGGGCGGGGCCAGGCAGGAAGGTAAGCAGGGGTGGGGCCAGGCAGGCAGGATCCCTGCTGCAGCTTCTGCCAGATGCAAGGCTTCCTCCTGGCTCTGTTTTGGGTCCAACCTGCATTGACAGGGAAGTGTGAGCAGGTGTCCAGAGTACTATGCCCACCAGAGACTGGGAATTCCAGGCCTGTTTTAGGTGTGTAGGGGGTGGACAAATAACATAGGACAGTCCTATGTTAACTTTTCTTGTTGCTATGACAAAATACACAGAATACATGACTGGAACAACTTACGGAAGGAAGGATTTTTTTGACTCATGGTTACAGGGAGGCAAGGCCGGGCTACAACCCTCAGTGGCCTGCTCCAGTGACCCTCCTTTGCCACCTCTTGAAGGTTCCATAGCCTCCCAGAACAGCCCCACCAGAGGAGTCCAAATGTTCATATACCAACAGGGCATGGTGGTGAACGCTTTTAGTAGTCCCAGCACTTGGGAAGCAGAGGCAGGCAGATCTTTGTGAGATTAAGGCCAGCCTGATCTACATAGTGAGTTCCAGGCCAGCTGCAGTTACAGGGAGACCCTGTCTCAAAAGACCAAAATAAAGTTCAAATACATGAGCCTATGGGGGAGCATTTCAGATCACATAACAATTCCCTACAAAACAACTTAGGAACTGGGCTGAGTGTTTGCTGTATGTTGGGCTATAGGAGGGTTGTGGGGACAAAGGCCTTCGGGGGAAGCCCTTTCTTTCCTCTGGAGGAGTTTATCTGCTATGGTTTTAGACATCAGTATCATTTGCTGCTGCTCTACTAGGATGGTGGGTTAGGTATAGTCAAATCCATTTATTTGTAAAAGGAAAAAGAAGCAGCTAATAAGTGCTGCACTGAACAGACTTTTGATTGCTAATCTAGAGTTGTTTAGTTATATCAGCATCTCAGATTTGGACTTCCTGAATAAGATGTGAATGTGAATTTGGACCAGGTGTGGTGGCACACACCTTTATTCCTAGCTCTTGGGAGACAGGCAGGCAGATCTCTATATAAGTTCAAGGCTAGCCTGGTCTACATACAGAGTCCCAAGCCAGCTTGGGCTACATAGTGAGACCCTGTCTTAAGGGGGAAGAGGAGGTGGAAGGAATCACGTGCCTATAATTAAACACACTTTTATTTCTGACCTTTCCAGAATCCTTAATCTATTGGTGTATAATATACCTCCATAGAGAGGGGCCTGTAGGATGGACTGAATTATCCCAAACTTGTTTGACCACAGAAGTCTTCCTCTCCAAGGGAAATGTTAATATTTCAGTTCCTCTGAACAGTTTTGATTATTTGATAGCTCATTGGCCCTCAATTCAAGTATTTCTAGATTAATTCAGATGTTAATCAAAGGAGCTTAATATATTACACATGGGTAAAATTACCTACTTCTGAAAAATCTTAATATTCAACTAATTTAAGAGACGACTGTAGGTAAATCAGTATCTTTGCAAGTGTAATATGCAAATTGTTCATGTAAAACTTTATTCTGAGTGCAGTAACTTGTTTATTACAGTGGATTTCCTGCCCTAAGATTCCCCAATCCATTGTAGAACAGTACTTCTGGGAAATACAGTAAGAGCCAGTTACTAGAAAGGTTAAAAAAAAAAAATTTTAAAGTATACCCACACATAGGATGATTTTGTTAAATATCACAGATATAAGAAGCATTCTCCCAAACTGCTCCTTCTAAATGCCACTTCTGTGGTCCCATGCCTTCCCCCTGAGGACCAGTGGCAGCAGGCCATGGGTGAGGGGGGACAGTCTGTAGAACTGAGTCTGAGAAGCTCAGTAGCTAGGCATTTTATAAAATCAGGTTATTCTTTGCCTGGGCCACCTGGACAGAGGGATATTTAAAAGTCTCTTTCCCCTTTTCTTCTTTCCCAGAGTGTAATCTGCCAGCTGGGCATTAGACATTGACCCCAGCACATTTCTGTCCTTTCTCTAGGGGGCAGAATTGCTGCCATCTGATTTATAAGGCTACCTTGCCATCCTACAGGGTCAGCTACAATCACATCTGCTGGGGAACTCCTGACTTGTAAAATGATCTCTCCCTGTTGGGCCTTTCCTGTAGCCTGCTCTCCAACAAGCACCCTGCCATTGATAGAAAGCCTACAATGCCTGCTTCATCGCTGGGGGTACAGGAGGGTGAAGTGGGCTCTGCCCTTTGAGGTTAAGCTCTTTAGGAAGCCTTTTCATTCATGTCAGTTTCCTGCAAGTGCTAAATTGACAGAAGGCATTCATTTCACTCACAGGGCACATGGATTTACAAATGGCTTTGACAGTGAGCATATTGATGCGAACAGTCCACCTTGTGAAGCCTGTCCCAGTAGCCCATCCTTGTTAAAGTTAGGGTTTTTCTTCTTTTAGTCTGGAAAATAGCTGATGATGATATTTAGGTTCTTTTTTTTTTTTTTTTAATACATTGAACTTAAAATCAAGGGCTGGGGATGTAGCTCAACTGGAGGAGTGCTTACCAGAATGCTTCCAGCACTACATAAATCAGGCCAGGGCATGGCACACACCTGTAATCCTAGGCTGGAGGATCGGAAATTCAAGGTCATTCTGACCTCTACATAGTGAGTCGAGGTAGCTTGGGCTGTGTGAGAACCTGTCATAAATAAATGAATAGCACACAAAATTGATTTAAAATTTAAAACTTGGGAGCCATTGTGTCCATTTTGACATGATTGGGTAATGGTGATAGTCATGGGTAATTCTATGCATGTTTTATTTTGTAAATAAGCTTAGCCTCAAGGGGGGGGAAGGAATTATGATCTGCAAAAATTAGAATTAATGAAAGTCAAGATAATAAATGCACAGGGGTAGCAGAAATTCAGGCTACTTAGTGACACTGATGCATAATTGCTTAATAGATTCAGTGCTAAGAAATGCTAATGCAGAATCCTTGATTTGGAATGGTTTAAATGTTTGGTAGTTGAAAAGTCCATTTGTTTTGAAAATTTCTCTTGTAGATTTCAGCATATTTAGTGTTGAGTGAGGGGTTAATCCCTTTTATGAGAGACTTGGAGTTTTCATTAAAGGGAAAAAACACAACAAAGTCATTGATTCTTTTAATTGAATTTTCATTGTTATAATTCTTGGGATTGCTTATCCAAGGTGCAGAGAAGTCAAATTCTTAGTTTTAAAAAAATTTGATGTCCTTCAGGGGAAAACAATTATTTCCTTTACAAATGAAAATTGAGAGGAGATCATAGAGTTCTAAAAACTTCTTTTTTTGTTGCTTTTTGGGTTTTTGAAACAGAGATGTCTTGTAGCTGCCGCTGACCCAGAACTCACTGTGTAGACCAAGCTAGCCTCAATCTCAGTGGGATGAAAGGCATGTGTCACCATGCCCAACCAGTTCTGAAAGCTTTAAACTTTACCCCAGAGTACTTTCTTTAATAATAGACACTACGCCTTCCAAGATTCCTATAGATGTTAGAAAAAAAATTGCATGGCAAGATACATAGGTAGCCTGTGCTAGGTACATGAGAGCCTGTAGTCTCTGGTTACTACATGGTAACTACAGTTAGGTTTTTGCCAGATCTAAGGCAGTCTCAGGCCATAGATTGTACTTTATATGTACTTTAACCTGAATTTATTCTCTTGGCCTCTTTCTCTCATTATTTGATATTTTAAAAAAGTACATGATGGACTTTCTAGTGGACTTTAAAGGGTAGTCACTAAAGTAAATATATTTCTTTGAAGATTAGAAAAATGTGTATCTGTGTGGAGGGGTGTATATGTGAGTGTGGGTGTCTGTGGAACCCATTAAGAGTCAGATCACTTGGAGCTGGAGTTAAACGTGGTTGTGATTGTGAGTGGCTCAACGTAAGTGCTGGGAACAGACCTCATGTCCTCTGCAAGAACACTATGTAATTGTAATCTCTCCAGCACCAAAGTAAATAATTTTGTAAATTTATTTTGGCTTCTAATTTCAAATATCCATGTAAATTCTGAAGTTATTTTTTAAATTATTTTTATTATATATATATGTGTGTATTGCCTGCATGTAGGTAAGTTCACCCATGTTGTGCAATGCCCGAGGAGGTCAGAAGAGGCTGTCTGATCCCCTGGGACTGGAGTTACGGATAGTTGTTAGAAGCCATGCGTGTGCTAGGATTCGAACCCTAGTCTTCTGCAAGAACAGTCAGTGTTCTTAACCACTGAGCCATCTCTCCAGCCCCCTATTTATATAATTATAGGAAGAAAATATGTTTGTTATAATGGATTTTAAGAAATATTTTATTTTTTGTATGAGTGTATTGTTGCCTATATGTATGTAAGTGCA